TATATATATATATATATATATATATATATATATATATATATATATGGGGAATGGTTCAAACGAGAATACCTTTCATTTTATGAAAATGCGAGAACACCTTTTTATTATAATAAATCACATGTGATACTAAATCTCAGACGTGGACTACATTTGACGCGACCTTGGTTGTGGCCAAGTCGCATGCACACTACTAGGCCCCATCATGTCTACTATCACATGTGGTAAAAGTGTTCTTGATACTATAATCGATCATGTGATGCTAAATCAGAGACACAAATGACCTTTGTCCCGACCTTGATCGTGGGCCAAGTTATCCGCAGTAAAATGAAGGTGTTCTTGTTTGAACGTCCACCTATATATATATATATATATACACACACACACACACCACCACCACCTAGGGGAAAACCGCAAAAAAATGAAAAATTGAAGAACACCCTGGTAACTATAATCTGGATGGTATGCACATGTGCATACAAGTAATTTATAAGCAATTTGTCTAGTAGTCAAATGTGCATAACATGCACACGTGCATAAAAACCAAAAAACAACTTCAATTACCTGTATGCACATATGTATAACGTCTAGATGCATGGCTACAAGGATGTTCCTCAGTTCATTTTTTGGGGGTTTTCCCCTAAACCTCCCTTTACCACCTATATATATAAAGAAGTTTCTTGTTTGAAACTCCCTACCTACTAATTCTTATATTTTTTGTTTTTTTAGAGTGTAGAATCCGAGTTAAATATTCAGTATACAATAAAACTTTACATCCTGATGCATCCATAGATACACAATTATTGCATTGTAAAACCATAAGGGTGGTGTCCGATTGGTTTGAGTTTGGGCTCCAAAGGTCAAAAGCGCCTGGAGGTCACAGGTTCGAATCCAAGGAGGAATAAAAATCCCCTTGCAGCCACGGAGGTTCAAATGCGGTAACTCCAGACCATCGGGAAGTGGATGGTTATCCTGAGATTGGTCGGCTCACATAACGGATTGGATATCCCGGTTCATTGCTGCTCAATGATTGAAGGAGAATAATCCAAAAATCAAAAAGTAAAATAAAAGCAGATTCTTGTATTGTATGGTCAAGGAAAATTGCATAAATTGAAGTCTACAAAAAGAGCACACAAGGAATATATGCACACCACTAGCTTCAAGAAAACAACCTTATAGGTGTACAACTTCTAATGAATGATGTACAAGTCATCATAGCACGACACACTCGACGTGTAGTTTACTTCTTGGATCCGGTTTGTGAGTTCTTGTAAGCGTTAAACGCTATGAGATAAAGACAAATGAGAGCGATCACTGCTATTATCAGTATCACGTTGGCTTCTTTCCATTCTTTCCGTAGGTTTCCCAACACACCCGCTTTACATGAATCACAGTTGTAGCACAGTTGGTTAGGGTCGTTGTTCCATATGATGCAATCCACGTCCCCCATTGGGTTCGTTGGATTGATCCACGTTATCGGGTTCACGTATTGATACCCACACACTGTTGGTGGCTTGCAACATCCTGACTGTAAAAAAAATACCACTATCGTAATATCATGTATATATGTAGGGTAAATTACGAAAAATTGCAACGTATTTTGATCTGATTCTTAATTTATGTATCGTATTTTTAAAATTTCCATTTTGGTACATCAAATGTGACATTTCAAACATTTCGGTCTTCAGTTACATCTGATGCTTGGGTTTGACTCGTATCTTGTGCAACAAACTTTAGTGTCTGTTTGTTGGTAGTTTAATGAGCTTAATCGGACTCACAACTTATTCAGTCAGCTATATATAACTTTTGGGTAGTTGCTTAATGACATAGAAAGTGTCTTATTCACTAAGCTTCTGGGAGGTAGCGTAATGCAGAAAACCAAGTCTTCTCAATCCATACAGACAAATTAATCCACACAGACAATTTTATCCATACAAGACTTAATGGAAAACCAACCAAACAGCTTCTTAGTCTAAATGTTTGAGATATCACATATGAGGTACTAAAATAAAGGTTTCAAAAGTGTGTGCTATACTGAATAAGAATTAGAACAAAGTACGTTGCATTTTCATAGAATTTGCTCAGTAAAGAACTTAAAGAATTACCTGAAGAGCGGAGATATGGGTCGAAAAGAACTGAGGTGCGGTGTAAGAATCCCGAACCATCTTGGTGCAAGTCGAGGACGAAGCCAAACACGCCCTTATACTTCCCCAATTTTCAGGATCCGTGATATGATCCCGCAGCCACTCTGAGTACCCCATATAACGGTACTCGTCATACTCCCGACCGGGAACGGAGAATGCGCCGGACGGGTGGGTGACGATGAAGGCAAGTATGAGGAGGATGATTCCGGTGACAATGAGGGCGGCGTTGCAGAACAGATAGAAGGACAATAAGCCCGGTTTGTTCCAGTGGGCCCCGACAAAACCGGTGAAGGCAAGGAGGAGGAAGAGGATACCGACGAAAACGATGGGCCACGGAAGGGAGCGGATGCAATGGTTGTCGGGTTTGGACGCAAGCCAGATTCCGGTGAAGATGATCGGAATCGAACATATGAGAGCTATGAAGTTTATGGTTGCTATTATGTTGTTGCTGACGGCCATGGCTGGCAAGATTTTCACACAGTGGAAAGTGGGTTTTCACACAGTTGAAGAGAATGGCAGAACATGTAAATTTTGTCACACAGTGGAGAGTGAGTTTTCACACAGTTGAAGAAGAATGGCAAAAACATGTAGAGCATTGGTTATGGTTAGAGGGAACTTATTCCACACCCACCTATAAAAGATTTTCACTTTACAAATGATGATTGAGTATTTACTTTATGGATTCTTTTGATAATTATTGTCTCATTTTAGAAAACGATGTACCTGCTTTCGAGAAAACAGAAGGAGAGTTAATGTGAGAAACGTTAGAAGAGATTTGGACCTTTGATCACCTTTAATCTCAAACTCAACCATGAATCAAGTTTGATACTGAGATTGATTTGGTGCATCTCTATGTATCTCGTTCCAATGTGCATCTAAGGGTGGAGATTCGTTCTTACGTTTCTCACCTTAACTCACTGGAATCCAACCCCAAGAAAGCGTATGTAATATATATCTTTTGGACCTTACTTTTGAATGATATATACTGTATTTTCAAAAAACTAGACACGAAAATGCCACTACGATTACAAAAGTTTGAGTAAATTTTGGTTTTCATCCTTGACGTTTGTCAATTTTAACGAAATCCATCCTTAAAATTCATTTATTCTTGAATAGTTTTTTAAGTGTAAAATGACCAAAATACTCTTTATTTAACTGGAGTTAACAGAGAAAAATAACAGGAGGAACCAAAACCAAGAGATTTGCTAGTATTAGGGACCAATTTGGTAACAGTCAAGAAATATCAAGGATGAAAATCAAAATTCACTCTAGAAATTTTAAATTAATACTTTGTTGGTGTCTTTATTTATGCAATCATATTTAAAGATATGGTTGGAAGGTGGGGTTTTCTTTTTTTCTTTCTTTTTATTATCCTCGATGTCCAACCGTTATGCGAGCTGACTAATTTCAGAACGACTATCTGTTTTGCAGATAGTCCGAGTCATCGTATTTGAACCTCTATAGTCAAAAGAAGATTTTTATTTCTCATTTGATTTGAACCTGAGATCTTCTGGTACTTTTGACACTTGGAGTCAAGTTTAAACCAATTTGTCATCTGTATGAGTAGATAAAACTGTTTGTAAAGATTAATGTCTTTTTAGGAAAAGATTTTTGTTTAGAAAAAGTTTTAATAGATTGAACGAGTTTGTTTTTTTTTCAATTGAGAATAACAAGTTTAAAAAAAACTTGACTTTCTGTATAAAGTTCTTCCTAAAAGCTTACTGAATAGATCATATATCACTGACTGAATAAGACGTGACCATACTAAAAACAACCCTCCTTAGTTGGCTATGAATATTATTGAACCTCATTTTTGAATCAAATATATACTCCTAATGATGGGTTAAAAGAAAAAGGATTAAATATCGTGAGAAGATAAGAATGAAAGATTCATATATGAATCATTAGAAAATCTATTTAAAGATGCACATGTAAAATCATATGTAATCTCTATGTCAATACAGATTTTTATTTTTTAATAAATCTCTATTGAGTTTCAAGATTTCTCAATTATTCACATATGAATCTTTCTTTATTTAAATCAACCAGATATAAATGTGTAATGAATATAATAAAACGTCCAAATGTGTTTTATACAAATACAAATGAATGAATACAAAATACAAAATTCAAAGAATGTTTTTAACCTTACTCCTGAACCCTAACTCCATTTGACATATCTACCCTTTCTATCGAAAAAGAAAGTATACTTTACAACCAAATTTAAACAATCTTTTTTCGATATCGACCGTTACGAGGAAAAGCAATTACGTTCAGAAGATAGCCCGCGTTTTAATCGGTTTAAGCTTCAATCCCATGCTTTCTGGCGAGAGAAGTTCCGGGGAGATGCTGCGGGTCGGGCTCAATGGGCTACGCGGGCTGCCATTCGACTTATACAATCCATACCCCGTTAGAAAATACTCCAATGAAACCAACATTGCATCCGGCTGCTCTTCTGTTACCATCGATCCGCAACCCTGTACCTGCAAATTTCTTTTGCATCAGCATGTGCATGTTTGTCGATCGGGTCAACTCAGTCAACATACCTCTACTAAAGCACTGTATCTTCGATCCAGTTTTGTGGTCATGTGGAGGGAATCAGAATGGAACGGGGAGCTATCTCCGACAAATATAAGCGTTCGGCATTTTAGTCTTTCTAATCCTTCAGTAATGTCGGGTCTCCTGCCCATTCCAAAAAAAACTTCAAATCTTAGAGACCGTTTAGTAAATTAAATTGGGTAACCGCTGAGATGCTTTGACCGGGTGGTCAGCATCTCGGTCAGCCACATTTGTTGGTCACAAGATGTCGGTAAACAACATCATCTCTTGCCAATACCTATCAATTGCTTGAAGAAACCGCAACACGTTGCTGCTCTGCCTCTCATCCAATAGCTGCAGAAAAAGTAATTCGTATTACACATCGTATAATTCATTTTGTAGAAAAAGAATGAAGACATATACCAAACGAGCCCAGTATATCCATCTCTATCAAAGCGGTGGCACCATTCGACTGTAAGAAATAAATCTACAGAGATTTTTTTGCAAAAAACGTAACAGATGCCATCTGGAGGTGGAGGGGGTAAGATGTACACAAACCTGACCTCTACCCTAAAGAGTAAAACGATTGTTTCTATACCAAACGAGCCCAGTATATCCATCTCTACCCTCCGTTCATCTCAAGAAAATATAAAAACATCAAAAGACGCACCTTTCTACATGCTTGCACAATATCTGATTCCGGGATTTCTGGACTACCACGAACTTCCTGATTTTGATCCAACGAAATCTCATTCATCAGAGCCAACACATGTACACGCACAAAATTTGTGCCGGGGTCATGCATTTAGAAAAAATCTGTCGGAAGGTTATTCTTGTAAATAACCCGATACAAAGTGTACCTTACTGAAGTATCTTTGAAGCAGACACTCCTTCAACACGCTACACATACCGTAGTAGTACAGCATATTCGACATCAACTATCCACATCAAAAGTAAAGATACAATCAATACATACACAATGGAATGCGACCACTCGGCATAACTAATAACCCAGAATACCTTATTGTAAAACCACTCGGTCCAAGAAGGTGCTTTGCACAAAGGCGAAATGAGTATCAAACCAGCAACTCTGTCTCTATATCGTATCTGCCAAATCAAAACCATATTCAGAACAAACACTCAAATCCTAAACCCTAAAGGTGCGTTTGGTACACCGGACAGGACAGGGATCATTATTCCACGTTCGGCAAGACTTTTATGGGAACATACAGGAACAAAGCGAAATAGACCTGTTCCATCCCCACCCCATGGAACAAGGTGGGACAGACCTATATCTAACCTCAAAATAAAACCTAATTCTCTTCTAAAACATCAAATACGCCTCCCTCTTTACATTATATTCATTCTTTAAATTTTATTTATTGTATTTTATACTCTTTAAACATTCACTTTACTTTCCTCAAAATATTATTTTTATACAGTTTCTATATTTTGATTAATTTATGTAATTTCTTAAATATTATTTTCATGTCATTTTAATTGTGACGAAAACTTTCTAATGATATATCTTGTTGTAAAAAAAAATTACATAAATAATCAAAATATATAAACTACTCATGAGGGGTAAATTGGTCATTTTATTTGTTCTGTCATGTCCAATTTCGTTTTACCAAACGCGGAACAGTTGTTCTGTTCTGTTCTATCTTGTCTGGATATCAAACACACCCTAAGCCCTGAAAGACATACCGCAAATAGTGTAAGGACATATGCACCGGCCATTGCCCCCATGCACATCACTGCACCGAGCCTAAAAAACCACAAAATCATATCATAACATCACAAATTCACAACCCATCCTGTTTTTGATTCTTACATCAAAGACGAGAAAGAAGAAAGCGAAGAACGAGTTATGATATACCTAAAATGATTGAGGACCTCGAGAATTTGATCGCAAAGATCATCAACAGAAGGGTAAGGATCATCGGCACAAATGGATGCAGCTCCTAACTGCAACAACTCTTGTGCAAATTCCCACAATTTTTTTTGGGTTAATAATGTAATCGAGCAAAGTTTCAATTCAAACATGTAAACGTCATATAGATTCACAGACCTCGTGTCCAGGTGGAGTTATGTGATAAATGCAGAAATTGTGTAGTAGCAAAGACGATGCTTCAGGACAGAAGAACAATCCTTGGAAACATGAAATATCTGTGCCCATAAATTGAACATAAAAAGTTAGATAAAAAAGATGATCTACGAGACAAGCGGTCAATGGTTTGGGGGAGATCTTACGATTTAGAGCTACATCGGGATAAGTAATCAATGGTGGTTTTTCTTCATCTCCGTAAACAATAACAGACACAGAACCATGGGCTGTCCGAATGATATGTTCCTGAATAAAGATTTCACACCACATTACTATAACCACACAGAGATGATGAAATATAAAGATCCTTCGGTAGTGGCTTAATGATATAGAAAGTGCCTTATTCAGTAAGCTTTTAGTAGGAGCTTTATGCAGAAAGCCACGTTTTTTTCCAAATCTTCCCCTCCCAATTAAAAAAAGCACTCCTTTCATATATGAAAAAACCCTCCCAAACAAAAACCTTCTCAATCTGTAAAGACAGATTAATCCACACAGACAGTTTTATCCGTACAGGTTTTGGAAAACCAACCAAACAACCCCTTAATCTAGAACTACAGTAAATAAATACAAATCACAACGTATAAGTATTAACGGAAGCAATGTTAACATGATGAGTTAGAAATGACCAATATATTCGACTTTCTAACCAACAAAGAAAGGATCTAAATTTAGAACCATTGCAGATTTCATGGGATGGAAGAAGCATTAACATATAGTTTTATATGAACAATCAAGAAGCCACATAATCAGCCGGCTCATTTAGTCTTCTGAACATATGTGGCAACAAATCTACAACCACGTAAAATAAGTAAATACAAAGATTCACAATCATGGGAAACCCGAAGGTTTATATAAGTTGTACGCGGATCTAGAAAACAGATTGCAATGCCTAACCCACTCACCCGTAATGAAAAAATGAGTTAGAAACTTAATATAAGGCCTGCAACACCAACGGAACCGTACTAGTGCAGGATTCGCCCCAAAATATGTGTATGCAACTGAATGACATTAAGGGGCCGTCTATTTACAGCTTAATGAGCTTGATACATGGGCGGCTTATTTGGTCAGCCAGAGTGTTTCTTTACGGCTTAATTGTAAGCCATTAAGCCAAAATGACAATATGGGATAAGGCAAGACTCCAAAACAGATTAATACCATAAATGCCCAAAAAATAACCGAACCCTCTCTCTTTGCCTCCTTCAAACCCATTTATCTCCTGTCCCTCGGAACAAATCTATCCAGACAGACGTCTTAACCCATACAGGGTTTGATGGAAAAAAGGATGAAGTAAATAGCCCCCTAAAAGAAGATTTAAAAAATGTGTCCTACCAAGTCCCCCGAAGAACTCAAGAACAACCAAAACCAAATAAACAAAATCGTTAAATTGAATCAAACCATGGGGTTTCAACAAATCGATTACAATAAAAGAGAAACGATATCAAATCGATATTCAAGAAATCCATCATCGAAAGAAACTAGAAAAACCCTTTTCCCGCTAAATCCCCCAGAAGCCCCAAAATCACATTAACAAAATTGGGAAAATTGACGTACCCCAGATGAGTATCTAAGAAATTCATTAATTGACATAAAACATGAAACAATAATCAGAAATTAGCAACCATATATTCGAAGAATTAAAAGTAGGCATAAAAAGACGATCTCAAATTCAAATTAAGGCAAGAATGGCAATGAAAACCTTTCCACCAAGATAGACGGTTTCCATATCAACGGCAATGGAATCGATTGAATCTGCCATGGCCGTCGTCTAAAGAAGAAAACCCAAAAACCCTTTCTTCTCTCTCTCTCTTCTTCTTCTCTCCTCCTTCCTCTTTTAGTATTCTCTCTCTCTCTCTCTAGAAACTCTCCATAAATCTCGCAATAACAAAAGCTAGTAATCTTTAATGACTTGTATACAAACCGATTACTGTTTTGTTTTTTCTCTCTTTGTCATATCATCATATTTGTGATGGTAAAATAAATAGGCAACCATAATTGCCGTAACTTATTGGTTTGAGCTTAATTTTAAAGATCAAAAGTACCGGAAGGTCTCAGGTTCAAATTCAAGAAGCAATAAAAATCTTCTTGTGGTCACGGATGTTCAAATGTGGTGACTCCGAGCTATCTGCAAAGCAGGTGATCGTCCTGGGATTAGTCGGTTCGCATTGCATATTGGATATCCAGGTTAATAAAAAAAATAGACATAATTTGCCAAGAAGCGTTAATACAATTACGGGTGTTCAAAACAACCAGAAAATCGAGAAAACGAGCCGAGCCATATGATTCGAAACTGAAAACCCCGATAACCAAAAAATCCAAAAATCAAAAAACAGGGTATTCACGGGTCGGGTTCGGTTTTTAATTTTAGGTATCCGAACCGAACCGAACCGAACCGAACCGGATACAGTATAATATTTAAGTGTTAGATATTTATATCATCATTTATAGATCTATCAACCCAAAGTTAAATGAGTAAAGTGCTTTTTATGTTTTAGTGTCAATAATTACGGTGGATGATTAAATTCGATGGTATGAAATCGTGAAAGGTCGACATTTACCGGAAAATCGATGTTTTTAAACAATTAAACTTATTTTAATTTACAGCGCTTTGATTATTTTCATTTATTTGTTATGTAATTGTTTTACATGTTATATTATGGTACCATTTTTATATTATAAATGATTTTTTTTTTATAAATTTGGATCACTGTAAACCGAACCATGTGTAACCACCTTACTTCGGTTCGGTTTCGGTTTGAGTTATCAGGTATCCACCTCATGCTGTTCAGTTCATATTTTACATACTAATCGAACCGAACTGAACCGTGAATACCTATCAACGGAATAACACCAGTCATAAGATTAGAATGGAATTCAATTCTAAATCTCTTTAGAACCAAACGGGACATAAAAATAAAATATGTCTGAATTGGAATTTATCTAAAAAATTGTTGATAAAAAGATAGATGACTTTATGATGCATTTTAAAAACAGAAGAAACAGCTTAATGATAATAAAGTAGGTTCGACAACATGGCCTCATCTTAACCTAATATTATTAATTATATAAAATAAAAAAATTTAATATTATAAATACTTTGGAGAAACATTGTACCAAAAGAAAGAAAAGGGAATATTATCCAGCTAAGCTGGCTGAATCATTGATGTTTCTGTTACAGTAAAAATACAAATCTGGTCCTTTAACTTAGGACGAATGGATACATTTGGTCCCTGAATTAATAAACAGACATTCTAACCATGTTTTTTTAACAGAATCTTGTTTTTTCGAGATCGGTTCGAATCCGTACACTTTCCTTCATTCCAGATCTTCATCGGAGTAGGGATCGTCCACTTCGCTCGCACTGTCTGAATCATCCGTCTTGAATTCGCCGGCAGCTCTTGGACCTGAAAGGTTGTGTCTTTGAAACTTGACTCCATCTTTGTCCTTCGTCTTAATTTCTTTTCGTTTCTTCCCAGATTGCATTTCGTGGGCAGCAGCAACAAAGACGTCGTTCATGGAATCGTTAATATTTTCGTCTTCATCGTTACCCTTGTTATCGATGAAGAAGAGTAGATTGTTATCTGTTTTCTCAGATGACGGTTGGTCAAGGTCCAGTCTTGAACTGTGACGGACTAATCTTTCACGATGTTTTGACATGAAACCATCACACAAACGCAAACCTTGATCCTCGAGATCGAGCATCCATTCTGAAGCCAGACGATTGAAAAAATAATCAGTCAAAGAGTCAACTTTGTAATGTGATCAAGAAACGCTATAGAACTCTAATGAAGTATACGATCAAAACCCAGCCGGGAAAGGATACTCTGAATCATAGAACTCTAATGAAGTATATGATCGACCGACATTTACCGAATTTGAAAAAGAGTCAGAATCAACTATCGCACTTAGTTTTTCTGCTACAAATTAACCATGATTTTTACAAAAAATGCCAAAATCCATTTTAAGTTCTTTACAAATCGTACCCTAAACCAACCCTAAACCTTAAGGGTGCATTTGGTAACAAGACAGGGAAGACAAGAACAATTGTTCAACATTTGGTAAGTCAGAACTGGACAGGACGGAACAAATAAAATGACCCATTTACCCCTATTGTAATTTCTTGAACTATAATAAAATAAATATTTTTATAACAAAATATATCAGTAGAAAGTTTTCGTCATGACGATTAAATTGACACTAAAATAAAAAGTTCATGTAGTTTCCAATTTTTATTTTATACATTTTCTTTATTATTTTATTTATTAATATTTAATAAATTACATAAATTAACCAATATACGAAAATCGTATAAAAATAATATTTTGAGGATAATAAAGTGAAAGTTTAAAAAGCATAATATACAATAGATACAATTTAAAGAATGAATAAAATGTAAAGAGAGAGGCGTGTTTGATGTTTTAGAAGAGAATTAGAGGTGCGTTTGGTTCACAAAATGTTTTCTGAAGGAATGGAATCTGTCAAAGAAATTTGACTTTGAAATTGAAGGAATAGAATCTATCAAAGAAATTTGACTTTGAAGGAATTAGAATGATCGGCAGTGGTTCAGATCGGTGGTGGTGAATAGTGGTGAGTGGTGAACAGTGGTAAGTGGTGATCGACGGTGGATCAGATTTCAGATGGAGGTCATACGGGCTTGGGTAAATGAAGTAGGGATGATGGGGATACTTTGTCGTTTTGAGAAAATGGGATGGGATGGAATGGAATTGAATTCCTTCTCAATTGTGATGGAATGACCAAATTCATGAATGGTGGAATGTAGGGAATTCAATTTCATTTCATAGGTAAACCAAACGCCTGAACGGAATTTAGTCAACGAAATTGATCATTCCAATTCCTTCAGCAATCCAGCGAACCAAACGCCCCCTTAGGTTTTATTTTGAGGTTATATTGGTAAAATATAGGTTTGTTTCACCTTGTTCCATGGGATGGAGGTGGAACATGCTTGTTCCACTCTGTTCCACATAAAAGTCCTACCAAACACGGAACAGTGATCCCTGTTTTATATTGTCCAATGTACCAAACGCACCCTAACAGTATTCAATATAAACCAACTGGGCACCTTATACCAAAGGACTCGACTCTAAAACCTAAAACGCTTTTAACACCATAGTTATAGTCAATGGAAAAATATAAATCATAGAAAGAAGTTAGTATCGCTTACTTAGGAACGCCGCAGGTGATGATCCCTTACGTTGACTTTCTATTCCCTGGGCACCAAGCTCGCTTGTAACCAATTTAGTTACAACTGTCGGTAAATGAGAACCCGAGAATGCATTTGTGTAAGAAATGGCTTTTGTATGGTCTTTGTTCTTCCTACAACCGAACGCACACTCATAGATCATAAGCAATTCGATATTTAAGTTTTGGCTGTATATATTGAAGAAGTTAAGAAGATATATATGTATATATATACATATATACATATACATATATACATATACATATATAACATACCTAGATAACTCGATAGCTTCATGGGTCACCATAAGTCTCGACAAAATGTTATTCTTTACGTGGTTATTGGAAAGATGACCGACTTTTTCAAGATTGAGGAACGAATAGTCGGGTAATATAACAACATCGTATATCAGTTTCCTCAGAAATGATTCATCTTCGGAACTCTGAAAACCAAACCACAAAGGATAATTTTTAGGAATCTTTTTACTCTTTTCGTACTATATACAAGTATAGTCGTGTTATCAATGAATCAAAAGCTAGAAAAGATTGCATCAAAGCATAATTCCAAAAGAAATCAACTAACCAGTAAGGACATCACTGTCAAATTCGGTTCTAACAGCATCTTAACGAGCATATCTGAAACCCCACATAGGCAACAATATAACAGAAATGAGTTGAATTACAAAATTATCATCAAAATCAACATTCTAAAAGCAGATTCCTGCATAACTTAAAACTGTGTTAAGAACGTCTACCATACAAAACTCTGAAATCAGTAAACAAGTGGAATCAAATGCATCATTATACAGTATCTATAACAGGCTATTTCAACTCTTCAATTAACAAGAAAACGAAAAGATGTCGAAAATGTGAGAGAAAGATTATAAAGGGTATTTACCAAAGAAGTAGAAATTATGAAACCCAGTTATGGAACAAACAGCCCAATTCCTCAAATCATTCTGCAGCTCCTGTCTTGAACTCCCATCACTAAATTTTAAACACAATTTCAACAAAAATGCCTCTAAAATCACAGCTCCAGCCAGCAATCCAAGAACACCTGCACTTTCTTCAGTAACACAGTCTATGATTTCATCACTGAAAAGTGGGAAAAACTGCTTCAATCCATTCTTGCCAGCTCCATTTCCATTCCCTTCACCATGAACCCAAATTGAAACTAGATCATTTAACGGCCTCACTAACCCAGAATCCTCATCACCGTTTGGTCCCTCACAACATACGTTAAAATACCCCAAAATTACATCAAGTAATGACCTAATCTCTCTTTTCGCTTTCTTTCCTCGCTTTAAATCCGCATCTTTCCTCTTCGAATCGACAGCTAATCCATACAATTTAAATATGACAGGCGCAATTAGCGCGATGGAAACTGAAGGACTACACGAAGCAGAATAAGCAGTTATAGATTGAAAAAGATCTTTCACAGCTAATACTTCATCCAAAATATCGTCTTTTGGAGGATTATCGATTTGAAAAACTAAACCCGAGAAAACCCAGATAGTTTCAAGAAGAGGGTCGGGTTTCGCTTGCATTAATTTGAGAAATGTCGATGTAAAAACGGATAAATCATGATTAGGGTTTTGCAGTGAATCTAATACGCTTTGAATCGATTGATTAATCGCCAGCTCGTATTCATCTCCTATGAAAACAGGGTTTTGGGTTTCAATTAGAGCCATGAAGTGATCGAATTTCAAAAGAAATTCACACAAAAACCCTGGTTTGAGAGAAGGAAAAGGGGTTTAGGGTTTAAGAAAGTTCCAACAAGAAAGTATCGTAAGGTATTAGATATTTTGTCATTATTACCCCCTGAAGAATGGTATAATTCAATAACCAGTCTCTCTTATCTTGGGCTTAAAGCCCAATACAAGTTAAGCCATTGGCCAGCCCAATATCAAGACCCATTAAGCCCACTCACATTTGAGTCGAAAAGCAATTTCGCCTTTCGAAGAGAAAAAAATACCCGTTTTTCAACGACTATAAAAAAGTAAGAACCATTAGTTTATCGAGACATCTCGTTCTCAAACTGAAATTTTGAAGAAATTACATCGAAAAACAACCGTTTCAGAATCATCTGTATGATTCGATCACTTTTAGATAGTTTGACAATACGAGATGTTACTAGTAGAGAACAATAGATATAGATGACTCACGAAAACAGACAAAAACCGTATATACTAACTGCAGATAATATTTATATCAGTATCGGTGCTTAACACAACTTGAAGTGTTCAACCTTTCATTTCCGATACTTGGTCAAAGGAATTTGGAGTAAAATATTTGGAAGTTAAAGTTCCAACGTCACTCCATTCCTGAAAAGCTGGCTGAAGGCTGGATGGATGGATGATCATACCTTATAATAAAAATGCCAACAAACCCAATTGGGAAATTATTTAATTCAATGTTTTCAGTGAAACTTTTTATCATCACTTGCTTCGTATCTTTGACATATGGCATGATATTTGGTCAAATATATGATAATATGAATCTATATATATATATATATATATATATATATATATATATCATGGTTTTGGAAAATTAAATAGAAATCAGATCAAACGAATACAGTATTTAATGGGTTTTCACGTATTTTTATCTGGTATTAAAGAAAAGTTAATATTTTACTGATAATTTATACTCGTCTAGCACCTTCATCCAACGAATAGAGTCTCAACTGAGTAGACATAAACCGTTTTTTTTCCTTCAATATATGTTGGAACTTCGGGTATCTTATTCGGGGGCGGACGTATTAAGCCCCAAACGGGTCATGTGCAGTGTGCACTTGCTCCACATATTTTAGTAAATATTTTTTTTTTAAATATGAAAAGTGCATCTGCTAAACTTGAAGGATGCTTTGGGACATTGAAAGTAGAATAAATATCAACAAAAAAACTGAAAAGTCCTTTCAAATCAACCAACAGACTTAATTTTTTTTTACCAGAACAGTAGAATTTGGTTAATAACGCACCAGATGACTTTACGAACTTCTGATTCACCTTAAAGATGCATCCACTCGTCAAAGATTTTGGTTCTACCACTGATCATATTAATGACTCTTTTTTTAAGAATAATCTAATGAGATGTCATATATATTCTTACAAGAAAGGAGAGTCCGAGAAAGTTACATATGTTTTTTTTTTTTAAATATATAATATTTATATACGGCAGATGCAACAAATAAACTCACACACTCTCCTCATCTTTGGTGATGTTTGAACCCTTGACCTCCTAGGAGGCCAAGGACTCCGATACCGCTAGACCGAAAGCCCTTTGGAGTATAAAACCGAAAGAATAAGACCATCTATCTCCAACGAGGACACCAAGTTTGGTAAAAAATTTACGGCCGTTACTAGACTATTACTTGATAAGTGCTTACCAGGTCACTTTACCATAACGAATAAACATCACAAAAATTGAAAATTTTACTCGGTAAGAACGATAACAAGAACCAATATATAATCTTACCCAGCAAGCGAGAGTGATTGGACTCTTACCCAGTAAACGTTTACCAGATAAAAACGTCTCATACGAAACCATTTTAATGGACTAAAATCTTATTCAGTAAGTTAAGTAAAAGTGGTGATCGAGTTATCAGAGTTGATCTCTTACAACCTCAATTTGCTGGAATTAGTCTGAACACAGCCCGAGACATCATTTAAAAAAAATTAAATAAAAGTGTTTAGTGTCACAGATCAACAATAGGTAAACGACCCTTTATTTGGGTAAACGTTTACCAAGTTATATTATCTTATCGGATGAATATGGTAAATACCAAAAATCTTACTCGGTAAGTGAGTGCAATGACTCTTACCACGCTCATACCGAATAAATTGTTGTATAAGAAAACCGTTTTTATTAACTAAAATCTTACTCAATAAGTAAATATAATTAATAACGTGTGGTTGAAGGAAAGGAGTGAAAAGGCGCGATTTGTGAGCAAATTGGGATTTTTGACAAGTGGGAATTTGATTGTAAATGTGTGTTTGAAGAACATGCATAAAGCCCAATTTTGGCTCCTATTGCAACTGGCAATTCCAAAATTACGACAAGTGGGAGTTGAATATATATATATATATAATTAATAAATTATTATGCACATAAAAACTGATAACCAATCGAATTCAGGTATGCCATAACCGTATTCAGTCTCTTTTCTACAACGCGTAATGATTTTTTATGTCGTTTAACTGACTGTCGTGTTAGACTAGTATTATACGTCATGTATCTTTAGCTGTATCAAAGATGTGTGTTTTGTAAAATGATATTTTTAGTTGTATTAAAGATATGTGTGTTTATTGAAATTTATTATCGGTTTTTAATAATGCAAAAGAAAAAAGATACATTATAAAAATTAAAGAATACTTATGTGGCGGAATGTAGATCATGAATTATAAAACCAAATTAAAAACTTTCAACATGTATGCATGTATATATAAAGAAAGAGAAAGAGGGGGCGGTTCAAACGAGAACGTTGTAATTATCAAATCACGTGTGATTTTTTTACTGAAATCACATGTTATTACTGCACAGGGGGTGTGTAGGTGACTTGGTACGCAACCTAGGTCGTACAAGTCATATGTGATTTGGTTGTTCCCGTGTTTTATTATGTGATCAATGTTATCTTGAAAACCCGTCTCTCTCTCTCTCTCTCTCTAGATCTATACATATATTCTCTTTCTCTCTCTCTCTCTCTCTCTCTCTCTCTCTCTCTATATATATATATAATGCATAAGTTTTGTTGGTGGGATGTTCTTGAGGATTTGGTGAGAGATATTGACATAAGAAGATAAGAGGAAATTGAGTTGTTAAACTATGAAATCTTATGACATAACCAATATTTTAACCACTTATTTTTGCAAGATTCTTTTTAAATGATCAAATAAAATACAATTATATTTGATTTATGTTTTGAATTGAAATACCATAAAAATTAGAATCTGGTAATTTAATTAAGGAAAAATTGCACCAAAATGGAACCAACTTTCACATGATTCTTATTTTGGGGAACGAACTTTCAAAATCGTCATTTTGATAAAAATTAACAGTGCCTTATAATAATAACTGTTAAAATCAAAATCAGTTTGTAAATAAGAAATAGAAAAAGAAGGCATAATCCTAGTGTTAGTGGATGCAAAATAGGGGGATTTGAGATGTTTTTTGGTTGGAGATGTTAAGAAAAAGAACATGAAACATGATTGAAGGAATCCAAGATTGTCCATTGACTGCATATTTAGGACAACATCATTAGCTGTTTACCTTTCAAATGTTTGATTTCTTTACAACACATAAATATACTTTTGTTCCAAATCGAGTGTTGTTTGTCCCCTTTAAAATACACATCATATCACAACCAATAAACCTCGGTTTCTTACTAAAGGGTCTTTGTCCTAGCGGTATGGTTAGGGGTTCAAACCTCACCAAATGTAAGGATGAAGTGTGAGTTTATTTGTTGCGTTTGTCGTATATAAATATTATATACTTCAAAAAAAAAAGTAGTGGGTTCTTTATGAGTAAAAAATGTTGTATTTATAAGTCACCTGAATCTTCGGAGTGTTTGTATAAGAACTTTGGTTATTACATTGAATTTTGTGTGAAATATTATTTAAGCAAGTTTTTAGCTGATTAAAAAAAGATGTAAAACGGATTATATGGAGGTAACAAAAAAGAGGTTCTTTTTTTTATTAACCTGGATATCCAACCCGCTTTGCAAGTCGACTAATCACAAGGCAATCACCTGCTTTGCAGATAGTACAGAGTCACCGCATTTGAACCTCCGTGGCCACAAGATGATTTTTATTCCTTCTTGGATTTGAACCTGGGACCTCTAGGTACTTTTGACCTTTGGAGTCAAGCTCAAACTAATCAGGCACCACCCATGTGGTTAAAAAAAACCTATCTTTTGCTTATAACAACCTACCACTATGGATATTCTTATAAATATCCTCCCATACACACACGCACATAAGTATAGAGGTTTAATCATTTGAGAACGTCAAAATTTGTTAATTTGTGAGAAATTCTATCTTAGGTTTTGTTACACGTGTTTTTTTTTCATCTAAATATAATATTTAATATATTGATTAACATATATTCTTTTCACAATGTTTTTTTTTCCATGTATTTGGTTCACAATGTGAAATCTTTTTACGTCTACTTTTTGTTTCACAAACACGCCAAAAAGTTTCACACTGTCGAACTAAAAGTGTCCTAAAATCTTGTTAAGATGTTCAAGAGTGTCCTATAAATTTATTACAACGTCTTTAGATAGGACATTTTATTTTTTAGTCCTACAAATTAAGGAATCGTTTACCAAACGCTTACCAAGTCACATTAGTTTACCAGATAAATATGACAATGACCAAAAATCTTACTCAGTAAGAACGAGACAATGACCAAGAGTCTTACCTAGTAAGTGAGGATAACGACTCTTACCATGATTAGCGCTTACCGGGTAAATTGTTGCATATGATACCGTTTTTGTTGCCTAAAATCTTTACCCGGTAAGTAAGTAGCAGTGTTGAATTGTATTTGTAAGCGCTTAACAAATAAGTGTTTGGTAAACGCCCCCCTATGTCTTATAAAATAGTATATCAAAACGTTTAATTTTTTTCTTTGTCATCCTATAAAGCTGATTTTGTTGTAGTGTTGCCTCTAAGAATCGGAATCAGATTAACATTAAATTAAGGCCTTGTTTGTTTGCTTTTTATATATAAAAAAAAACTTTTATTAGTCTATCATGTCTGATTCATTAAGAGGTAAGGTCATTCAGACTGTTTGTTTCTTCCAAGTTTTCAGGGACCCTTATGTCTTATTGTTCTCTTATTTGGTAAGAGGTAAACCAACATCTTATTTGCTTTTTATTGTTCTTCAAACCCTCAACAACATTGTTTCTCAATCAATTATTTATCTCAATTAAACCTTACAAAAACCAATCATCGCGTTTCTCATTTGATGTATTTTAATATGATTTAAATGTGTTAAATACGTTAATTACATATTTTCATTTAAATGAATGCTAAATTAATTTAAATGTAAATTTCATAATGATGATGAATAAATATATGAAATTGTATAAATTTTATTTATAAATTCAACAGTATAATTTTTTTTAATTAGTAAAATAGACAATTTAAACAAATTCATACGTTTATCAATTTAAAAAACAGTCTTATTGATTCAGATTTCAGACGTCACTTTCACCTCTTACAAGTCAGAAATAAAATAAGACTTCAGACTTCTACACCCTTTAAAAAACAAAGATCCCCTAAATGTTTTTCTTCTTCTAAAGGAACAACAATTAGTTGAATATAATTTACTTTAATATTTAAACAAAGCATATAAAACACAATCAATGGATATATTAAGTTGTTTATTTAATTATTATTTTTATTATCAAGTTGGGTTTTATTAATTAATTATTAAAAGAGAAGAAATTAGAAAGCATGAGATTAATGTTGTTTCACGCAATCATACTTAAAAAGGTTTAATAAATTAATTTTTCATATTTAAATAATCTTAAAAGACAAAGTTCTTAAACATAGTAATTAATTATTTAATTAAGTCTACGATAAATTAAATTAAATTAAATGGTTATAAAAATAAATTATTAAATTAAATGGTTATAAACATATATTATTAATTTCTCATTCCTCACGAGTTGATTATTTAAATTAAACAAATTCATACGTTTAGATTTGAAAACCAACTATTTTATCTATTATTCCTAATGAGTAATTAATTTATAATTAAATGATTACTTAAAGAGAACTATAATTAAACAATCTTAAGCATTATTCATTAAGAATATTATGCATTTTCACTATTCACATTATCAGACAATTTCAAACATTTTCATTTTTATCAAAAATATCATATATCTTAATTATCAAAACATAAATAATTAATTATCATATTCATAATAAATAAATATATATATATAAATAAATAAAATAAATAAATAAATAAATAAAATAATTATGATATTGATAAAAATACAGCATTATTGGATTGCAAAAGCAGGTTATAATATAAATGGGGTGATCTTATAATATCAAGATATTGGTGATGCATAGAAGGATCTTAAAATCATAGGGAAGTGGCCAAACAGTTGTCAAAGGCATGCATTATGCATATGCTTTTTTCAAGATATACTTTGTTATTCATTATATTTCTAATTTATATTTTTATCAAATTAATATTTCAATAATTCTTCATTAATTAAGGATACTTTTACATGTGCTAATTACAAACCTAATCAAGATTATAGTGTTATTTTATGTATATAATATTTATATACGACAAATAGAACAAATAAGCTTACACACCCTTCTCACGTTTTGCAAGTTTTGAACCCTTAACCTCATAAGAGAACAATGACTTACATACCACTAGACCAAAAGCCATTTGGTCAGGATTATGGTGTTCGACAATATGATTTTGATTTTATGATTTTTGGGATCAAATTGTAATTGTTGAAGCAAAGCTGATTTTTAACGTATAACTATTCAATGTATGTCGATTCTTCAAAACGCATGTCCAAACATTCACTTAGTAAGTCACGTTTGATTCACATGGACAAACATGTTTATTTAACTTACGTAATTTGTCAAACATGTTTATTTAACTTACGTAATTTGTCAAACATTGCATGATTAATTATTGAAATTTGAGATTGCAGTAATTAGACTCGTAAATCGTGACACCTAGCTAGCTATAAACATCATTTATCGTTAAACATTTTTAGATCATACGTATACAGAAACCGTCAAGACGATTAGAATATTATATATTTTTATTATGATCACAATAGATTGTAATGGAAATTATTACATATTTTAAAAGGGTTAGTTTTGATCTTGCTACCTTATTCTAAACAATTAATCATTGATGCCTTTGCCATTTTTTCTTCTCATTAAACTATACAGGCATGTTGTAAGTGAGCCCCACATTATTTTCTTTGTGTGTTTGCAAAGTTTGAGTTTAAACGCTTCCTATATATAGGGAGGGGGCCATTGACAAAAGCTTCATCAAACACCACATCTCTCTCTCTCTCTCTCTCTCTTGATCTCTCTCTCTCTCAAAACTTTCTTTTAACTTGCTTAAAACTAGAATTGAAGAAAACCCTTTACTTGCAAGAAACAGTTGTACTCATGGCAATAGAGATTGTACAACCAAGTGTGGGATTATCAAAGATTGCGGTCTCAGAAACCCATGGGGAAGACTCCCCATATTTTGCAGGATGGAAGGCTTATGATGAAAACCCTTATCATGAAACACAAAATCCTTCTGGTGTCATTCAGATGGGATTAGCAGAAAATCAAGTATGCCACTTGAAGACAGCTTAATTTTCAAGCTTTTTTGGGTTTGGTGTTTTATGGTTGGAGAGTGGGCTAACAATCTTGTAATTCTACAGGTGTCTTTTGATCTGCTTGAAGAATATTTGGAAGCAAATCTTGAAGCAGCCAACTGGGGCCAAAAAGTTTCTGGCTTTAGAGAGAATGCTTTGTTTCAAGATTATCATGGGCTTCAATCTTTCAGAAAGGTACCACCTTTTTAGCCAAATATACAACCCCATTATGCTTCTCTCTCTCTCTCTCTCTCTCTCTCTCTATATATATATATATACATATATGCTATAATTAAGGAGTGATCAAGAAAGTCTAACTTGTTGAATTATACCAATCTTGGTTGTTTTTAGGCAATGGCAAGTTTCATGGAACAAGTGAGGGGAGGAAAAGCAAAATTCAACCCTGATCGAGTCGTATTGACAGCGGGTGCAACCGCAGCTAACGAGCTTTTAACCTTCATTTTGGCGGATCCTGGCGACGCATTGCTGGTCCCGACCCCTTACTATCCAGGGTAGGAAACAGTTTACTCAAAAGTCAAAGAATTTATGAACACCGAAGAATAAGAGTGACTCACTCGGCCACTCTATTACCTCGGTGCTAGTGAGGTTTTAAAAACATTTGCATCTTTTAAAACCTTTGTGTCATGAAATATTGCAGATTTGACAGAGATTTGAGGTGGAGAACTGGTGTACAAATTGTTCCAATCCACTGTGAAAGTGCAAACAATTTTCAGATTACTCCTGAAGCCCTAGAAGCTGCATATGATCATGCAAGATCAATGAACATAAAAGTGAGGGGAGTCCTCATCACAAACCCTTCGAACCCATTGGGCGCCACGATACAACGAAAGGTCCTCGAAGAGATCCTAGACTTTGCAACCCGAAAGAACATCCATCTAGTTTCGGATGAAATCTACTCGGGTTCAGCTTTCGACGCAGATGAATTCGTAAGCATCGCAGAAGTACTTGAATCAAGAAACTATAAAGACTCAGAAAGATGCCACATTGTTTACAGTCTTTCGAAAGATCTCGGCCTCCCAGGGTTCCGAGTTGGAACCGTGTATTCCTACAACCATCAAGTCGTGACAACTGCAAGGAGAATGTCGAGTTTCACCTTAATTTCGTCACAAACACAGTTTCTGTTGGCATCCATGTTGTCGGATAAAGAGTTCACACAGAAATACATAAAGATCAACCGTGAAAGACTGAAGAAGCGATACGAAATGATCATCAACGGGCTGAAAGAGGCCGGTATCGAGTGCTTACAAGGGAATGCTGGCCTTTTCTGTTGGATGAATCTGAGTCCTTACTTGGAGGATGCCACAGTCAAAAGCGAATTAGCGATCTGGAAAACGATCATGCACGAAGTGAGGCTGAACATATCGCCCGGATCATCCTGCCATTGTTCCGAACCAGGGTGGTTTCGAGTGTGTTTCGCAAACATGAGTGAAGAAACACTTGAAGTTGCTCTTTCAAGAATCCATGAATTCATCAAAAGAAGGAAGCAAGATAGGCAAGTTTTGTGAGTGATGTGATCGATCTTTAATCATTTTTTAGGTGGCAAACCCTAATCAAGATTAGGGTTTTTGCCCCCAATAACGTTTGTAGATCATATTGGGGATTCAATATCTGATTTTTGCTCTCATTTCTTTGTGGGTTTTTGGAATCTTCAAGAAATCGAGTTTATAGAATCCCTGTTGTCTGAATCAAACTTGTAGATTGAACTTGTTCCCGTATACCATATCATTACAATTTAAAGATTATTTATTTTATCATTATTTTTTTCAAGGTTTTTACTGTATTTATTTCTTTTACATATATATTTCCAATACGAAAGTCAACGTATATGAAGCAGCCTCTGAATTGTTAAGAAGTGAATCTTGTGACAACCTTAACCATTCAGCATCCTAATTTCATTTTTAACAATTATCAAACAATTATATTTCATTTTATGCTATATCAAAAGAACATCTTAATCATTTTGACTATTTAATCATTTAATACCAAACCATTTAGAAATTATCAAACGGTAATCAAATACAGAACTAATGATGTGCATGTTTTGATTTTATTAAATTTTTAAATGATTAAAATTATGATTTTATTTTTTAATATCACGTACACAAAAAAATGATGGTTAGGCTACATTATGATTTGATTTGATTTGATTGGATATGGGGTTCACTCTCATCTTTTTTACAAAATAATATTAAATAATTATATTATCTTTTTACAAAATAATATTAAATAATTATATAAATCTACCAAACACATGTTTGCTTCATCAAACACCAACTCTCTACCACGTATTTTCGAACACAAATTCTACCAAGTTGACCATTTGCATTGCCAAATGATAATACTATCGACATCTTTTATTTACGATTTTAAATTACAAAATAATTAAATTATAATATTTAATACAGAAATATTATTTGATTAAGGTCCCTATGATATGTTTATTATAGATTTTATCATTGTGATATTCAATTTGTTTTCAACATGGTCCCTCTGACTAACATCTCCGTTAAATCAATGGTTATTTTAGTCTTTTTACTATAAAAAAGTAATTAAAAAAAACAATTTTTTTTGTACAAATATATACGATAACTCGTTAAGTACAACAAAATTGACTTGGTACCTAAAATTTGGCACTTTCGTGCACATATGTACATTCCATCGTTAAAGTGCTTCTACCTTTTCCTTCTCAATGTCTAAACGTCCTAATAAAATATTTTATAGAACTTAATTTTATATTATCACGCTATAAAACGTTATATATGAAAGTGTTACAATAGGTTTATCGGACGTTTTTTTTTATTTTTTAACAAATTTTAGGATGGTTTTATAAAAAAAAATGTTGTATTAGTTGTTTTATATGACACATTTGAAACATGTCATATAAATCTGTCTTTTCATATGGAACGTCTAAAAACGTTCTATAAATTCATTCTAACACTTTTAGATATGACGTTTTTCTGATTTGGTCCAATAAACATAAGTATTATAAAGTATTTATTAAAATGCTTAGACAGACGTTCTATAAAACCAATTTTGTTGTAATAACTATAATTAAATTATTTAAAAATAACAATATATTTTTGTAAAAAAAGGGCAATTGAGAATCTAAACATAGAGTTTGACTTTAATGTCAAAAGTCAAAACCGACGTATAAAGCCCATGGTTTTGATAACAATGGATAATGAATTATAAGTACATAAGATCAAGTTGTGATTATTTGACCGTTTTAAAAAATAAATTCAGTTACAGATAATGAAATAAATTCAGTTACGGATAACGAAATAAATTCAGTTATACAAAGTCTTTATAACTCAAATAAATTCAGTTATAAATATCAAAATACCATATATAACTAAATGGTCGGATTTGTCGATACTGATATGAGTTAACATCAAAATCATGATTGGGATGATGATAACATGCAACAAGTGAGGACCACGAGGCGGCTCCATCAACACCTCCTTATAACTACGATGTGCCCTGAATAATTGACCCATTTGACGAAAATAGCTGATTTTTTGATAGACGGATAATTAATGGAATTTTATAAAAAATTAAAAAGATATAAAGAAAACGAATGTCAAAATCAGCCAACAATACTACAATCGAAATATCAAGAATAAAGAGTTGACTTTGGGTTTTTTATAAGGAATATGAATTAATGTATTTAATTGTTCTTTTTAGTATATAATATTTGTATATGATAAATAATCACATATACTTATTATATCTGGTGAAGTTTGAACCTTAATCGTATGAGAGGCGGAATAATACAGATGGATTGATGACATTTTCGTATATTTATAACCTCTGTATTCAACAAAAAGTGATTTTTTTTATTTGGAGATTTCTTTTTATTGATTCATATGCTTGTTCATTAAGGGTCCGTTTGGTATGCAGACTAGGTGGGACCGGACGGAACAAAAATTAATAGTCCCATGTTTGGTGTGCCATGGGACAAAAATTAGATGGGACAACGTGGGACTATTCTTGAGTTTTTTTGTTCCAGCAAAAAGGTGGAACAACATGAGACTAAACTTGAGATTACAATCTTACCCTTCTTATTTGATATTAGATACAAAACCTACTTTCATTGCATCCTCTTTCTTCATCTTCCAGCTTATCGATTCCAACCTCCATTGTAAAACTCGAAACCTTCCATTCCACGAGCTCAAACTCGATTCCAACCTCCATTTCAGGTACGATTTCTCCTCAATCTTCCATGGTTAATGATTTCTCCTCAATTTTCACTTCCATGGTTATCGATTTCTCCTCAATTTTCATTTCCATGGTTATCGATTCCACAATCTGAACCAACAAAAGGTGGAGCCTCTATTCCACAATCGATTCCTCTTCCATCTTCATTTCCATGGTTATCGATTCAACAATCACTTCCAATATTTGCAATTCCACTATCTAAATGAGTAGGGATGTGACAGTTAATTTTCTACTATATGGCTAAGTTTTAGTATTTATAAGAATGACAATGGTTTCAGGGGCAGGGGCAGGAGCATTATATGATATAAAAAGCATAAAACAACGTTCAAGGGCATTCTGGTCATTTTAACAATTTTGTCATGTCTTGTCCACTACTGTTCTAGTCGTACCAAACATAGGACATACAATTTAGTCATGTCCAGTCCCGTCCCATCCTGTCCCGTCTCATCTAGTCTGTGTACCAAATGCTACCTACAAGATACTTTTGCGATTGATTGTCAAACATAAAATTTTCCATTACAAATGGAATAGATTGTAAAATAAACCACCTCTTGGGGGTTATTACCGAGATATAGTTTTTGATATTTTAAAACAAATACTCCGAGGTCGTTTAGTATCAACATAAGTTTAGTTAATACTAGGCTCTGTTTGTTTTTTACAGTTTGCCTCTTAACCACCGCTCATCACTTATTCAGTCAAACCTTTTTAAATTAAGACCGGTCTTTTTCCACAGCCTTTTATCTCTTAAAATCATTTTGGAAAAAAAGCGGTAATATAAACCCTTAATTCCTCTTATTTACTCTCACACCCCTCCACACATATAGTTCTCTCAAGTCGATCTCCTACCAAAGCGATCTCTCAAGTTGTTGATCTCCAAATCGATCTCGACCCGAATCGATGTCTCAACCAAATCGACCTTCAAGGTATGTCGATCTCCCCTTCAAATTTCTGGTTCTTTGTCCTTGTGATTCGTATAGTTCGTCGACTGTAGACAGTCTAGTTTGTTTTGGGGTTTGTAGTCCATGTGGTCCTTATAGTCTGTCGACGTTCATTGTGAGACTCATAATGAACGTCGATAGATTCAAGAAACGGGTTTATTAAAGAAGGATTCCATCATGCATTTATTCCGCATTTGATTGATCTCATGTGAAATTTTAGTAGATTTTTTTTCTTGAATTTTAGGTAGGAGTTCATCTGCATCTTGCCAATGGATACCACTTTCCAAATTCGGAAAGCACTTTGATATAGTATGAACGGAAAATTTACATAAATAGTCAATACATTAAAGTGATTTACTTTTTATTTATCTTAAAAACAAAATTTTGAATAGTCAGAGTTTATAAAAAAATTGTTTATGATTTTTTATGTAAAGTTTATTTTCAGACAAAAAAAATAAAAATAATATTAAGAAAAATATTACGAAAGAAAATTTGGCTCTAAAATTTCTAATTGATTAAAAAAAATTCACTTTACACCCTTATAATCAGTTATGTAATATACTTTATATCTATTGCTTTTTTATTTTTTTTGTTTACACTATATTATAAAATATTTGACAAAAAATTTTAAAAATCATTTTTTTATGCATGAAGTACTGTTTATTAATGCATATTACTTAAAATTCAAGATTACAAATAAATTGTGCATAAGTACAACTTATTAAAGCTCTATATTTGAATTTGTATAACTAACTGTGGATAAACATAATTAAATAGAGAATAAACATCTCATTTTAAAATATAAAAAATCTAAAATATAATTAGAATAAGTATTGAGTTTTAACAGAATACTTAATTATTATCTTTATTAAAAAAAATATTATTAAACCTAAATTAAGTTACTTCGTTACGATAAATTAAATTATAATAAAAATTTTGAATTAAAAAAATACACAAATAAAAAAACTTAAATAGTTAATTTAATACTGATATTAATATATTCTTTGCAAATTTTATATGACATTTTCAAATTTATATTTTATTCAAAAATAAAAACATTATCGTTTTCTTAAAACCACATAAAATCGTATTATATCGATATAGATAAAAAATAAAACGAAACATTGAAATGGAAATGTGTCTCGATGCATTGTACGAGTACCTTTCTAGTTAACTACAATAAATAAAAAATTATGTTTCTCTTTTACAAACTACATGATTATAATTGTCTCTTTAATACGTTCAAAACAAGCCTAATATTGAACACTTTTTGGTTTTAATCATATTATTAAATATCATAAATATGTACGAATTATTTTTAAAACTTACACTTTCTACCCTTATGGTTT